AAAAAGAAATCCATAGCCATGCCCTGGCGCACACCTTTAATTCTAGCACTTGAGAGGCAGAGGTGGGTGGATCTGAGTTCAAGGACAGCCTGGTCTACAGAAAGAGTTCCAGGATAGCAAATGCTACGGATTGAAACCCTGTCTAACAAAACAAACAAAAGAAAAAAAAAGAAAGAAAGAAAATATTGTTAAACCTATTTTGTATATGCTAACAAAAACATTTTTCCTTTTTCAGGGTCTCATGTGGCACAGGCTAACTTTGACTCACTGCCTCTACTTCCCAGGTGTGCCTAGTGCTGGTTATTCAACTTTTTTGCCTCTCAGCTCTGAATGCACCCTTTGGTTGATTCTCTGTAATGTGTAATTCAGCCTTAAGCAGGGATACTTGCTTCAACCTCTCATCCTGAAAAGAAACTTCGGTATTTTTTATAAACTAGGAGAAGAAAAGAGGTGAAAGAAAGGTGAGAACAGGGCTGTGTGATGGCATTAGTTGATTACAAAGAGACATTCTGGGATACCGAAGAGAGGTGTACATCATTGTTGTGGGATATATTGCTGTGATTGGTTCAATAGAGAGCTGAACAGCCAATAGCTAGGGAGGAGGTACAGGCAGGACTTCTGGGCAGAGAGGAAGGAAACGGATGAATCTACTTGTCCAAGAGACTCCAGGAGACACAGAAGAAGCAGGATGGGCAGTACGTGACAGAATATAGATTAATAGAAGTAGGTTAATTTAAGTTATAAGAGCTAGTAAAAAAAAACAAGCCTAGGCTAAGGCCAACCTTTCATAATAAGACTTTCTGTTGTTATGAAAGCTGGCTGGTGGGTCAAAGAAAGACTCATTACACATCATTTATTATTACATGATATCAGAGAATTAAGAAGCACTGTTGATTCTGGTGATATGGTATTGCTGTCACATACCTCAGTTTAGTTTTCCAGCGGGGTCTGCTTTATTACTAAAATATTTACACTTAGAATATAGTACAGTTAGCAGCAACTTTCTTCTCCGTCTAGAAAGAGCCACAGACTTCTCACCCAAGTGGCTCAGTTACTAACAATTCTGTCTCTGTTTCACAGGAGATGGGTTCCATTCTGTCATTCTGCATCAAAAGCCTCCTAGAAGATTATTCCACTGCCTTTGTAAGGCTGCCTGTGTTGGCATCTGCGATGGTAGCTAAATAAATGAGATTTCTATGCAACACGTGCTGGTACCTATGAGTGAAAAACAAGAATTAGAGGCTTGGGTTTTTTTGTTGGTTTGGTTTTGTTTGGTTGGTTTGGTTTTTTGAGACAGGTTTTGGTGCCTGTCCTGGATCTCGCTCTGTAGACTAGGCTGGCCTCTAACTCAGAGAGATCCTCCTGGCTCTGCCTCCCGAGTGCTGGGATTAAAGGCGTAAGCCACTACCGCCCAGATTAGAGGCTTGTTTTTACTCACCTTGCAAACTAGAAGAAAATCTGCCCAGTGTGGTGGAATGCTGTTCCCTCGACTGAATGACACAGGTCACCAACCTTTTTCTTACTTTTTGATTCACCTGCCTCTGCCTTCCCAAGTGCATCAACACACCTCGCTTCACCAACCTTCTTGTTTAACTTAGACTCTCATCCATTCTCACTTATCACTCACACATATGTCCTCTAGATCAAGCAACCATGACTTTTTTGTTTGGACTACAATAGTAGTTTCCTCACTCCACAGTTTATGATGAAGCCCTGCTTTATTCCCCAGAGTTGGAACGGTCACAGCACAATTTAAATCAAGATCCTGTCGTAACTGTTCTAAACCCCTCTAAAGATGCATCTCATTCCTACATGGTCTTAATGTGGGGGGGTCTCCAGTTACTTCTGTGTTCTCCTATGGCTTTCCCTTTGTTAAGTTCTGAACATGGGGCCTCCTTGATGTGGCCTGAGGGTATTCAGCACCTTTATCCTGCCTTACTTATCTCTGGGGCTCAAGGCTTCACTCAATGCTGCCTTATTAGAGAATCTCTGCCCCCTACCATAACTTACCCTACTTGATTTCTGCGGGGTTGGAAATTGAACACTGAATTTCCTGTTCATGACAGGCAAGGTACTCTATCACACCCCGCCCCCCAACTTTATCCCATTCAAAGCACTTATTATTATATATCTCATTATATTTGTTCCCTCTGGATTCTGTGTATGAGTGTTTTGCCTGCATGTATGTATGGGCACTACATACATGCCTGGTACATGGGGGATCATGCCTGGTGCCCAGGGCATCAGATGCCCTGCAACTGGAGTTACAGATGGTTGTGAGCCACCATTACTGGGAATTGAACTTGGGTCCTTTGAAAGAGCTACAAGTGCTCTTAAACTCTGAGCCAACTCTCCCTGCCTCCCTCTGGATTCTGGACTCTAGAATGTCAGCTCCACAAGAGATTTGGAATCTTTTGTGCTTCTTATTCCCAAGTACATCAAACACTGAGTCCATAGTACACCCAACACTCGGGAGGCAGAGGCAGGTGGGTCTCTGAGTTCAAAGCCAGCCTGGCTTATAGAGCAAATTCACAGGTAAACCTTGGGAGAGAGAGAGGAGGCCTTTCTTATGATCAAGGCAAGCATACGACGGTAGCACTTCTCAATTGCTTGCCATTCAGAAAGAATCAACAGACTTGGGAAGTGCAACCTTCACAATGTGAAAAAACAGGATAGGAGATTAGTAAAGAATCAATGTACTAAAGAAAAATGTGCAGCAGGCATTTTCTAAAAAAAAACGAGAAAGTGTTTACTATAAACTGTAAAAAATCAAACCACCAAATGTTGGAGTCAAACAAACACCTCAGAATGGATTCTGCTATTCCATTGAGGTACTTGGAGAAGGATTGTAGGTGGCTAATTGTTGGACCAAATTTAGAAAAAGGTCTCGAATTCTGTTTCTTCTCATTCTGATATCCCATGGAGAGCACATTAATTCTATCCAGGATTAACCTTTGGTTTAAGGTGGATATCTCTTCGTTGGTTGTGCGTCTCTCTCACAGACTGACTGCTAGTTAACCAAATGCCCTGACTTACTGGGAATGGACGTAAAAACCACAAATAAAGAGACCGTGGCTCTTATCTGAGCCTAGCTTTCAGATGCTTCGCTGTCATCAGCTCACAGGGCTTATGCGAAACCCTGAATAAGTTCTACCATAAACTATATGGTCTTGAGTAGTAAGTAAATAACCTATAGAGGGCAGGGGGCACAGAAGTCTTGCTATGTAATCTTAGCTGGCCTTAAACTTGTGGCCATCCTCCGGCTGCAGCCTGACAAGTGCTAGGATTACAGGCATGCAGCGCCACTCAGGCGAAGTAACTTCTCATGTATCTCCCTTTTCTCATCCGCGACCCATCACCCAGACTGCCGCACGTCCCCAGTGGCACTTACTGGACGCACTCGTTCGCTCGGCCCTTGTTCTGATACTCCACGATACAGCGGATCAGCTGGTCATTCTCCTCCAGGAGCTGAAAGGAGGGCGAAAGTGCAGGGTACCATCAGGTGCCCCCACGCCGCCAGCAGGCGCCGATCTGGCCCGGCCCCCGGCCCTCCCCACCACGGCCCGGAAGCTGCAGGAAACTCCTGCACCGGGACGCTCACCCGCTGGATGGTCTCCTGGTTGACCTTGGCCTTGCCGCGAAGCCAGTCAGGGGCGAAGATGACCGACATGCTTTAAGTTCGGAATCCCGAGCCGGGGCAGCACGGTCGCGTGCTACTGACGCGAAGCTTACGCTGCGGCGTCCGTCCCCGCCCTGAGGAGGCGGGGCGAAGAGAATCGGCGACCATTGGAAGCGCTGCGGGGCGAGGCGGGGCTTGTGATTGGACGGACACGCGAGCTCGCGAACCAGCTCTTGGGAGTCTGTGACGCTCCTCTGGGGGCCGGACTTGGCGACGATTGACAGCCACGGGCTGACCCGCCTCTCCCGCAGCCCGGCTCCCTGTACCTTCCTGAAGAAACTAGTTCCAGAGCAGTGAGAACTGTGGGTGTTGCCTCCAGCCAGCTCAAACCAGAAAGCACGGATTATAGATTTCCTGTTAGCCTGGAAAATACTTTAATATGCCTAGATTCTTTCCAGACCATAAGAAATTGAATATCAGAAGCTAGTGGTTAAGAAACTTAACTACTCTTACAGAGGACAAGAGTTTGATTCCAAGTATTTATGTCAAGTGGCTCACAACCACTCACAACCACCTGTAGGTAACTTCAGCTCCAGGAGATCTAAAGCTCTTTTCTGGCCTGCCTGGGCACCCACATACACGTGCACATGAGTAAAAATTTGTTATGAAATCGTACTAGCTACACAGAGAAACAAACAAACAAACAAACAAACAAACAAAAAAGAAATCGTACTAATTGCTTGTTGCAACCCTAAAAAGTATGAGTATTTTCCATTTTATAGATCAGAATATAGATGCATTCCCCTGAATCCTATTGGTCAAATGACCGCCAGACTCTGAGCCTGGGTAATATGGCTTTAGAACTTCATTTAAGGGGGAGATCTTGAGGGACTTCCTAGAGCTTCATTTCCCTGCCCTAGAACAGGTTTCCCCTACCCCCTTTCAGGCTTGTAAGCCAGCAGCTTCCACCTCATTTCCCAGCATGAGGCTTCAACGAGAGAAGTTGGGGTGACCTGCCTGAGTGGGGTCAGGACTCAGAGCTCCTTGCTTCTCAAGTTCCGACATCAGGTTCTCTCCCCACGGGAATCTCCCAGATATTCTGCAGAAGACAGGATGGGCAGAAGCAGAGCCATCAAGAACAGGATGGAGACCTTGCTTTATGCCACTCTGCCTTTAACAATTCTGTTTTTTAGACAGTGGAGGAATGGCATTAGCAGGAGATGGTGTTGAGGGGGGCAAGTGCAGGGGATGGACAGTGGCCCAGCCATTGAGGGAGGCCAAGCCCTCCAGGGCAGGAGACGTCTCAGCGTGGAGATGTGCACATTACAGAGATGATAGGGCTCAACTCTGAATTTGGCATCTGCTGGATGACATCAAGGACCTGGCTGAGGGCTGGAGAGATGACTCAGCAGTTAAGAGCACTGGCTGCTCTTCCAGAGGACCTGGGTTCAATTCCTAGCACCCACATGACCGCTCACAACTGTCTGTAACTCCAGTTCCAGGGATCTCCTCACACAGACAAATGTGCAGGCAAAACACCAATACACACAAAATAAAAAGAAAAACAAAACAAAACAAAAGAATTGACTGCCAGGCATGGTGGTGCACCCCTTTAATCCCAGCACCCGGGAGGCAGAGGCAGGTGGATCTCTGTAAGTTTGAGGCCAGCCTGGTCTACAGAGTGAGTTCCAGGACAGGCTCCAAAGCTACACAGAGAAACCCTGTCTTAACTACTTGAAAAAAGAAAGAAAGAAAGAAAAAAAAGAACCTGGCTGAGGTTGGCAATGTGTGTAGTACAGCTCCACGTGGCGGTAGAACGTACAACCCAGGAGGAATGGATAGTAGGTGGGACAGGATGACCGTGCAAGGGTGTCAGTGTGTCAGAAACAGTGTGATAGATATGATCACCCTGGGACTCCCAACTTATGTGGAAGGAAGTTAAAATGAAAAAAAGAATTAATGAAAAGGGCAAAGTAGAGGGACATGGACTAGAAATTTCTAGTTTGGGAGGGAGGCAGAAGAGGAGAGGACAGAGATCAAATGTCTAAAGTTATAAATAACTACTTGTGGAAGTTGTCTGTGGAGATGTAGAGATTGTGGGGGTGGAGAGCTGAAGAGGCTTGGAATGGAAAGCCTCTGAAGATGACAGTGGTTGTGAGCAGTCAGTGACTGGAGATGAGGGCTGGGATTATAGGTATCACATCTTACCCGTTTCCCATTCCATTCTACGCTAGTGCCAGGGGCTCACCAGGTGTACCAGACAGAAGGTGAAGGAACATTCTATCTAAATCACTCAAGTCTCAAATACTAATGTCCCAAGGCTCCATCCACATTTGAAAAGATCTTATTTTGTTTATTTGATTTTGATTTTAAGATAGTGTCTCAGATAGCCTGGGCTGGCTTCAAACTCACCAGGAATGATTGTGAGCGTGACTCTCCAGAGTGCTGGAACTGTAGGGGTTCATGTGCTGGGGGTAGAGCCCAAGGCTTCACTCATGAATGCTAGGCACACACTTTCCCACATGAGCCACACTCTAGCTTGGATGTTTCTATCTTGTTTTGTTTTGTTTTCATTTTTCCAGACAAGGTTTCTCTGTGTAACAGAGTAACTGTCCTGAACTTGCTGCCTTCCAAGTGCTTATTTATTTATGTGTATGAATGCTTTGTCTGTATATGTGTATGTGCACTGCATGCCTATCTGGTGCCTGTGAATGTCAGGAAAGGGTATTGAATCCTTTGGAACTGGAGTTACAGAAGGTTGTGTGTTGTGGAATATTACTTTAACTATGTAAAGGTGTGTTGCATTTGTTTATGCTGCATTTGTTTAACAATGTAAAGATGTGTTACATTTGTTTATGCTGCATTTATTTATGTAAAGATGTGTTGCTGTTTTACCTTACCTGCCTAAGGCACCTGATTGGTTTAATAAAAAGCTGAATGGCCAATAGCTAGGCAGTAGAGAAATAGGGCAGGCTGGTGGGCAGAGAGAATAAGTAGGAGGAGGAATTTAGACTCGAGAGAGGGAGAGGAGAGAGAATGATGGAGAAAGAGAGAGATGCCCAGGGCTAGCCAGCCAAGCAGCCTCCATCCAGACAGACACAGAGTAGGACATACAGAATGAAAGAAAGTTAAAAAGCCCCAAGGCAAGCCGGGCGGTGGTGGCGCACGCCTTTAATCCCAGCACTTGGGAGGCAGAGCCAGGCGGATCTCTGCGAGTTCGAGGCCAGCCTGGGCTACCAAGTGAGCTCCAGGAAAGGCGCAAAGCTATGCAGAGAAACCCTGTCT